GCTTTGGTGCCTCTGTCAAGTGGTCTAGTTTGGTCCCTGGAGACTGTTCAGTAGATTACAGGATCAATCTAGAGGTTTCCTCCAGATACAGGGTACTTTTGGAGAAGAATATGGAAAATGATAACTAGTTAATTTCCATCTGCTTAGTGCCAGACTGCCTCAATTTTTCAAGCATACAATACTTCAAACCATTAATACACTGCTTTTGGAAAGTTCTCCTTTCCCACATGTCTCTGGGAGAATAAAAATAAAGATAATAACTGAGTCTTTAAAACTTGCATGCAGGGCAAGTTTAAAAATCAGAAAGAAAAATATTATTGATGGGTGCATCTGTTTCAGGAAATCTAACTTCCAGGTTATTAAATACTGGGAAGGCTCCAAATATTGTTATTAGGTGCATTTATACTGATTACAAGCCTGACCAGAAATGAACAAAAGATAAGGCTGAGACTTTTTCTAACACATATTTCAATAATTTATATCCATTCATCCAACAAGAACTTACTTATTAAGCACCTTATGTGTATAAAGCATTGTGTTAGGTACTATGAGGAATAAAATACCAAGACACAGAGGCTGGTTTCAGGGAGTTGACAGTCTACTATGGAACATCAAACCATTCCAACCTACCAACCCCATTTCTGTTCCAAGTGTTCCGACTGATCGCCACACATCACGTTTCAAGTCTCACTACTTGAGTAATGCATAAACGGCAGCTTAAAACAGGGCTCCTTCACCTACAAACATCAGTAAGTAATATTGCAGAGACAGCCTGACCTAATGGATAGAGGACAAGCTTCAAAGCCAGAAGAGCTTGGGTTCCAGTCCCATATCTGACACACACTGGCCGTAGGACCCTGGGTAAGTCACTGAACCTGTCAGTTCTCTGGGCATTCTGCAGACCTAGCTACTGTGCCTCAGCTGTCCGGATACTCAACTCCTGCTGGCCCCTTTTCCCACTGGCGTTCCCAGAACCTTCAATTTGGGGAAGGGCCCCAGACCATCCCTCATTCTCCAGTTCCTGCTGGGGTACCTTCCCCTTCCTCTTTTCAGATCCCTTTATGTGTTGTCTTCTCCCATTAATAAATGGTTGTTCCAAAAAATAAAATAACATAACATAACATAACATAAAATAAAATAAATGCTTGTTGACTGACTGTCAGACTTCACCTCCCAGAACTCTAGGCAATCTCTAAGACTGTCGAGTGGTACCTAGCAAGCGGCTCATCAATGCTTGTTGACTGACCCTCAGACATCGCCTTTCAGGACTCTGGGCAATTCTCTAAATGGCACATAGTATGGGTAGGGGGGTTTCCACTCCGAGAATCCCTCGTAAAACAAAGATCCAGTCCCGTCCAAAGTAAAAACCCGGCTTCTCCGTACCCCTCCCCCACACTATTTTTAAAAAGAATTAAAAAGCCCCGGCCCGAGGGAGATAACTGGCTGGGGCTCCTGCGACGGCTCAGGCCGGCCTTTCCCGCCCCCCGAGACAGACGGAACTTCGGACAACCCCTACAAAGCTGCGGCCCCCCCGGAAGCACCCAGCGCCTTCCCTCAAAGTCCGCAGGGTTCGCAGACCCCGTTTCCCGGAGCGGCGGGGCCGGACTTCTGGGGATCTCGCCTCCGGGCTCCCTCCGCCCGACCCCGACCCCTCCCCCGCCTCAGCCCCGGAGACGAGAGCCAGGCCCCGCGGGCCCCGGGACTCACGGCGGCTCCCGTGAAGATGTCCTCGCCCTCGGCGTCGCTGTCCCCGGCCTCGAGCTCCGAGCCGCCTCCGCCGGCCGCCCCCTCGGGCCCAGGGGGCTCCGGGATCGGGAAGGGTGGAGGGAGCCGCTCCGAGGCACTACAGCCGCCGCCGCCGCCGCCGCCGCCGCCCCGACGCCATCTTCCTGCACCGGCGGCGGAAGCCGCAACAACAACTTTATGAAGGAAGCCCCGGGAGCAGCTGCGATCCCTCGCTCCGAAGGGGAGGGAGAGCGAGAGCGAGGCGAAGACCCCGGGATGAACCGCCGAGCCTCGGCAGAGGGGCGGGCGGGCGGGTAGGGAGGAGCCCGGGGCGGGGGCGGGGCCAGCCCGAGGCGGGGCTTAACCACCGGGGGCGGGGCCTGCAGCCTCGGGAGCTCGGGGCGCCGACCCAGGACCTTGGGCGGGAGACGAATGTCCTCAGCGCGGGTGGGGAGGTCAGAGTCACGAGTAAGGAAGTGGCGGGACTCCGGGGCTACGACTCTTTCGAGTCAATAAACATGTATTTAGCCCCTACTGTATGCCAGTTACTGTGCTGGGGATCCAAAAAGAGGCAAAAAACTGTCCCTGCCCTCAAGGAGCTCAAAATCTAACGGGGGAGACAACATACAACAAATATGTACAAACAAGCTATATACAGGATAAATGGGAAATGATTAACAGAGGGAAGCACCTACTAAGTGCCAGGAACTGTGTTGAGAATTGGTGGTGGGTGGTTGAGTCCTGTCCCACTCTTCAGTACCTCATTTGGAATCTTCTTGGCAAAGGTACTAGAAAGCTTTGCTGTTTACTTCTCCAGCTCATTTTACAGATGAGGAACTGAGGCAAACCAGGGTTAAGTGACATGCTTAGCTACCGTCTGAGGCAGGATCTGGGCTCCTGTAGATGAGTCTTCCTGATTCCAAGCCCAAGGCTCTAACCACTTTGCCACCTAGCTGCCCTGTGTTGAGGATACACAGGCAAAAGATAATTCCTGCCCACAAGAAGTTCACAGCAAAATGGAGGTGACATGCAAACAGAAATGTACAAACAAACTATATACAGGATAAATAGGAAATAATTAACAGACGGAAGGAACTAGAATTAAGAGGAGATGGGGAAAGCTTCTCATAAAAGATGGGATTTGACTCAGAGGCTCAGTAGGGTTGCTCACACTGTTAAGACTACCGAGAAGGACAGAGCTTTGTAGAGAGGCAGAAACACCCCCATAGCTGGGAATAGAAGTATCAGGGGAGTTGGGGGGGGCATGATGTCACTGAAAGTTGTTCACAAGAAAAAGGTAGGGGAAGAGGAAAAGGGAACCAAAACTGTTGAAGACCTTTATGAAGTCGTGTCGATAAGCTCTAAGCTCCATGAGGGCTTATATTTTCAGAAATGGATGGGATCCTGGAAAACATCTCATCTAATCTAACTGCCCTGATTTATAGGGCAGGAAACTGAGTCCTAAGGGTATTAATTGACACTAGTTAATGGAGGCAGCTCAGTAGCACAGTGGATTGCTCGATGGGCTTGAAGTCAGGATAGACCTGAGTTCAAATAAGACTTCATTCACCAGCTCTCTGACTCTGGGGAAATCACTTAAATTTCCTCATCTGTAAAGTGGGGGTGATAATAGCACCTACCTTGCTGTGTTAGTGTGAGGATCAAATAACATGTGTAGTGCATTTGGCACAATGCCTGGCACTTAATAGGCATTCAGTAGATGTTTGTTTTGTTCTAATAACAGAGCTGCCCCAGCTTCTTACTTAGTTACTTATTTTCACCTATCCCATATGCTAGTTAGAATAGATTGTAGAATAGATTGAAATCTGTGATTTCAATGGGAAAGGGAACTCCCAGATGAGGAAAAACATAACAGTGTAAAACTACAACTTAGTCTTAGAAAGTTTATCTAGAGCCAGAGTTACAAAGCTATTATGTGTTAAAGGCAGGACTTGAACCCACACCCCCCTGGCTTCAAGGCCAGCTCTTTACCATTATTCTGATTTTTTAAAAAATGATGCTTTTCAGCATATGGTAGGCTTTTAATATGTACTTAATCGTTCTCTATAAAAATTAATAATCATCTCATCTTTGCTTAAAAGGGTCATCTTAGAATAGCTCCAGGATGAAACATCACATTTACTTTAAACATCTTTCTTTTTAAAGTGTAATTGGAGTACCAAGAATGGGAGGAAAATTATAGTTCTAAAGCAAATTTTATTACACTTAATCTATTCTTTGAATTCCCCATATTAGAGATACTCCAGTATTCTCTTTGCATAATCTGCTTGTGATCAAAATAAGCAAAATTAAGAAGCAGATTGAAGCACCAAGATGGGAAATCCAGTAGCATTTAACACATTGCTCCAACTTGCCTTGCAATCCAAATAAGCAAAAATAACAGGCAGGTTGCAATATCATCGGGGGGAAATCCAGTAGAATGTCACTTTCTTGAAGGCAAGTGGTTGTTTCATTTTAGTCTTTGCCTACCACATAGTAGGCCCTTGGTAAATACTTGCTGAATTGTTTTTTTTTAATGTTTCACATATTCCCAATTGCATAATTATCTAGAGCACCCTAACAATGGTCAAGATGATTACAAGGACTGCATAAATTAAAATGCTGGGTTTGAGAGTGGGGGAGATGGAAGGGGCATTTTGTTTATTTTTGCCTATCAGGTAAAAGCAATCAATTCTTGAGAACGTTTAGGAAGCGGTGAGGGCCATACAGAAGAGTGTAGCAGAGAAGATCCTGGGGAGGAGGACAAAGATAATGAGATGCTCGTAAATTTCCCCCTCTAGTTGGCTAGCCTGGCTCCCAAAAGATTTAGTTAACATAGCAACGGAAACCCACTTCCGGCCCCGCCAGGAAGTGAGAAAAGGGTTTCCCGGAAATGGCTCTCAGAGAAAGGGCAGCGGGCTCTCTCAAAGTTCCACAACGGATGCTTGTCTCCCATTATTGCCTTGGGAGTGAGGTCCCCAGGATCCGTGAAATAGAGTGAAAACAGCGTACGTCCTCCTTTACACTACAGTCGACCTCTGGTAATGGTGCGTAGGCACTCGAGATCGTGGAATTTGAGAGTTGGTGACCGGAGTAGAGAAAAGCTAGGTTCATTTCAGAGTGGAAACTACAAATCCTAGAATACACCGCTTCAGCCTACTTCTCCGGAAGGGCCTTGCGCTTCCCCACACGCCGAGCGCCGGATGTGAACACCCCCCCCTCATTCCCCGGTTCCCCGCTGAAATGAAGCAAAGCATTTTGGGATCTGTAGTCCCCATAGAACTGTTCCCTATGTCCTTAGCGCGCCCGAACCTCCATTCTCCCCTCCCCACGACCCTTAGGATTCCTCGCTTCACCGCCTTGGGACCAGGAAATTGAAATATCTCGTCTGGGGTGGTGGGAAGACGGTGGCTCGGGTGGGACCGACACCAGGGATGGCGGAGCGGGAGGATGGAGCAAGTGTCCGGGCTGCTTTCCTGGGCGCTGAGCAGAGTCCTGTGGCTCTCGGGCCGCTCTGAGCGGGGAGCTGCCCGGCAGCCCCGGATCATGGAAGAGAAAGCGCTAGAGGTTTACGGTAACTCTCCTCCTCTGGGGCTGCTCTTTGCGGGATCTGGCACCTCGGGGCGGGGAGGCTGGGGTCCGGGTCTTCCAGTCCGGAGGTGGGGGATAGGGTCAGATAAATCCATTCCCACTCGCCCTGTCCGTGGCAGTGTATATGTTTAGGGGATAAGGATGTGTCCCCAAGTCGCATCCCCGCCCAGACCCAACCTCAGAACCAGATGCTATTTAATTCTCCATTCCCTTTTCCAGTCTGCAGATATGCGCTCTACTGAAATTGAACTGAGGGTCCCAGCGACATTTTATTGGAAGAATCAACAGCTGAGGGGGTCTCCTTCATCTATGGTGAAGTTGACTACTTGCATTCAGTTAACTCAGACAACATTTAAGCTCCTGCTGTGGGCAATGCACTGTCAGTCAGTCAATAAGCATTTATTAAGGGCATGCTGTGTGCCGTGTATTGTGCTAAGCGACAAGGAAACGAAGAAAAAGTACACTATTCTCTGCCCTCTAAGTGCTCACTTTGTAATAGGGGAGAGTGTGCAGAATAGGGGAAATGTGCAAAACAAGATACACAAACAGGATGAACTGGAGATAACCAGCAGAGGGAAGGCGCTGACATTAAGGGGGTTCAGGAACAGCTTCTCTTGAAAGGCCGGAGGTTTTAGCTGGAACTTGAAGGAAGCCAGGAGGTGAAGATAAGGAGAGAGAGAACTGGAGGCATGAGGAAGAGCCAATGAAAATGCAAGGGCTCTGGGGGTGGAGCATGTTGAGAGACCTCTAGGAGGCCAGTGTCTCTGGATCTGATTATGTGAGGAACTGTAAAGTGTACAAAGCCTGGAAAGGTAGGACTTGGGGACATGTTGTGAGAGGCTTTGAATGCCAAATAGAAGATTTGTTTTTTATCTTAGGGATCAAATGATGATAAGGAACCCTCGGAATTTATTGAATGGAGGGTGGATGTGCTTAGGGATTAGGGATACAAAAACATAAATAATAAACCGTCTTTGCCATGAGCTGGATTCTGCAGGTGAATACAACATATAACTTATAATTATTTGAGCAGGTAACAAACAGCTGGAGGGAAGTAGCCATAGGAAAAGCTAGAAAGTGGCACCTGAGATGAATCTTGAAGGAAGTTAAGGTTTCTAAAGGGTGGCATGAGATAGATTGTCAAATCCTGTGAGCAGAAAGTAGGCCATTTTGGCAGAAACATGGAGAAACATGGAGAGAATAAAGGCATTGGTCCAGAAAGGTAGCTAGGCTTAAATGTCCAAGGAGCTGGTACTTTATGCTGGAAACAATAGCCATTTAAGTTTTTTGGGCAGGAGAGAGACCCAGTCAATTTGGGGTACAGTGAAAAGAGCATTGGGATTGGAGTCATATGACCTGGGTTTAAATCCTGGCTCTGAAACTTAGTAATTGTTCTTTACCTCTTTGGGCCTTTATTTCTTCACCTACAAAATGAAGGGGCTGAACCAAAAAACTTTTGCAGTCCCTTCCAGCTCTTAAGTCAGTGATCTGGCCCAACACCAGTGCTTTCGGAAGCTTATTTTAGCAAGTAAGAGAAAGAAGAGACTGGAAGCAAGGAAGCAGTATGGTACAGTAAGTAGAAAGAGTCTTGGATTTGGAGTTCAAGTGCTAGTCTATTCTTTATTATGAATGACCTTGGACAAGTAAGTCACTTAAGTTCCCTATCCCTTAGTATCTTCATCTTTGAAATGAGAGGAGTGGACTAGATGAGCTTGAAAGACCTTTCTAGCTTTGAGTCAGTGACCTAGGTGAGAGTTGATATGTTGGTGAGAGTTGATATGTTGGAGCCTTTCGGGATATATGAGTGAGTCCAACAGGTTCCTTTCATCTTCAGTGAAAATAATATTGTTCTATCTTAGGTAAAAATTGTGGACTTACAGGAGCTGAAGGCTGGAAAGCACCGCTGGAGGTTGAGGGCAGGAGAGGACTTTCCTTGAGAGTAGGACTTACTTATTTAAACTCCTACTATAGATGATTGTCATTGAGAAATGATCTTAACAGAGTGGTCTAAACAAATTATCCTATTGCTCAACCACCAGGCTGAGGAAGTCAGGGTAGGAAGACAGGTGCTTTCTTAGATCTGGGAAAAATATAATGAAAGGTGACTATAGAATTATAAATTTTAAGCTAGAAGGGACCCGAGAAAGGGTTGGGTTATGGGGGAGTCATCTGATCCAACCCCCTCTGTTTTGTGATTTGGGAATCCCTTGAAGGTAATAGTACTTTTCATTCTAGAATGCTTTTGTAAATCATCTTTGTCACATGAAGTACTCTTTTCTTCCTTAAACTCCTCTAATGCTTATCTAAAGCATTGGGACACATAGTGACTTGTATTTATGCATTTATGTGCTGTTTTCCAAAGTAAATGGTAAGTTTCATGAGAGCAGGGACCGTGTCTAATTCTTCATTGTATTCCCCATAGCACAAAACTCCTGGGCACATAGGAGATACCTGATACACATTAACTGATTGGTTGATAAAATGAGAAAGACTCTTGCTGGGAAAACTAATACTGCGTTCAAGTGGTTTGCCCAAATTCATACAGCTAGATAGTATTGAAACTGAGACTAAAATATATATTACCAATCAGATAAAAATTTAATGTTAAGGAGATTTTCCTATCTCTGTTCCTCATATCCCCTTGCTCCCAAGTTCTCTTCTTTTTGGCCTAGTCCTCTATACATTGCCCCTGCTTCTGTCCTTGGGCCCAAGTAAACAAATCTCTTCCTCTTCCAAGTGACAGAGCTTTGGATACTTGAAGAGTGCTACTATGTTTTTGTTTTCTTAATGCAGCCTGAGACTACATTAGCTTTTTGGGAGGCTACTATAAGACTGGATGGAATTGCAGTCCATTAAAATCCCTAGATGTTTTTCATATAATCCTTTGTCTAGCCATAACTTCCCCTGACTTGTGAAACCGATTTTCCATTCAGCAGACACTTGCTAACCACTTTCTGTAAGCAAGGCACTGCTAGGCATTGGGAATACAAAGACAAAAATGAAAATCCCTGCCCTCAGGGAGGGCGTTCTACTAGAGGGGATGCCACTTATATACAGGAAAGTAAGTAAAAGGAATTTCAAGAGGAAGAGAGAATTAGTACCTGGTAGGATCAGGAAATCGTTCTGTAGGAGATGGCACATTGGAAGGAAAGTAGGGATTCTTCAGTGTGGAAGAGAGGAAGGAAAGCATTCCAAACATAGCTAGAATGTAGCCACAGAACAAACTGGCACTGGGACAGAAGGTGGAATGTCAGATACAGAGAACAAGGAGGAGGTCAGTTTGGAACAAAAAGTTTATGAAGGGAAGTAATAAGAAATAAGTTTGGAAAGGTAGATGGAAGTCATGTTGTAGAGTGCTTTAAATGCCAGGCTGAAGATTTTGTCTTAGAGACAATAGGGAGCCACTGAAGAGATTTGAGTAGGGGAATTACATGGTAAGATCTTTGTTTTATTAACAGCAGTTTGGCAGCCAGGTGGAAGATAAGTTGGAGAGGGGATGGTGACCCAATTATGAGGCATTTGTAATAGTCTAAGGAAGAGATGATAAGGGCCTGAGGCAGAGGAGTGACTATTTGAGTAAAGAGGAGGTGAATTTTAGTGAAGTTGTGGAGATAAAATCAGCTGAACTTGGCAGTTGATCGAATTTAAGATTTGAGAGAGAGGGAAGAGTCAGAATGTTTCCAAGGTACTAAACCTGAATAAAGGGAAAGATGGTACTGCCTTCAACAGGAGAAAGGACATTTGTAGGAGTAGAGGGTTTTGAGGAAAGATGGAATTTTCTTTTGGACATTTTGAATTTGAGATGGATTAGTGATGTGAACTAGATAGATAGATAGTGAGGAGGGTTAGTGATGCAAAACTAGAATTGGGAGAGAGGTTTGGGCTAGATTTATGGATTTTGAAATCACCTTCATGGAGAGGATAATTGAACCCATGTGAGCTGATGAAATCACCAAAAGGAAGGTTGTAGAGAGAGAAAAGAAAAGGGCACGAGGCAGAATGTTGAGAAACACCCACATAGGGATTGGAATATGGATGAAGACTTGGCAAAAGAACCTGAGAAGGAGCATTCAGGCAGGTAAGAGGAGAACCAAGAGATAGCAATATCACAGAAGCCAAGGGAAAAGAGAGCGAATGCAAGAAGAGGCAGTGGTCAGTAGTTCAGAGGGAGGAGAGAGTAGTGATGAAGAGGATTCAGAACAGCCATTGTGCAGAATACGATGGAGGACCATTGAAGAATGAGGCAATAATAATCATCCAGTTGAGATTAGTTTGAAACCTGTCAGTGTCCCAGGCAACTATTTAAGGTGAACTGGTGATCTTTGTTGGCACAGGAGGTTTATACATGGGGAGTTTCCTACAGTAATGAAATCCCAGGTCCAGACAAAACAAAATTGTAGTGAACCCAGATGTGTTGTTGTATAACATTCTCCAGCAGCGTTCAGCAACAAGTGATTAGGAATAGTGAAAGGGGGATGGAATGGGCAGTGGTAAACCAGGGGTGAGTGTTATCGGCAAGGTGAAATTTGTGATTGAGTAAGGAGATCAAGAATAACTAACAGCGTGTGGCTGGTTTGGTCAGTCAAAGGATCAGTGATTGGGAGGGAATCAAGGCTAATGCAGGGTTGTTGGGAAACAATGGTGAGGAGTGGAGAGGGCCTGGAAGTCATGGTGAGGGTGAAGACTAGGTTTAAGAGCAATTGGGCAGAAGGATAGTAGGTCCACAAGCATTTATTGTCTACTGTGGGAGAAGTACGGTGCTAAGTGTTGGGCATACAAAGAAAGGCAAAAACCCCCCGAAACACTCCCTACCGTAAAGGAGCTCATAGTCTAATGAAGGAGAGAGCATACAAACAGCTGTGTTTACAGGGAGTAGTGAGGTGGCTTAGTGGATAGAGCATGCCCTAGAGTCAGCAAGACCTGAGTTCAAGCCTGACCTCAGACACTCACTAGCTGTGTGACCCTGGGCAAGTCACTTAACTT